GAGGTATAACATCACATCTGCCAGAATGGCAGCCATCAACAAATCATCATGCAACAAGTTTTGGCGAGGATGTGGAGAAAAGGGGATCCTAGTACACCACTGGTGGGAATGCAGACTGGTGTAGCCACTATGGAAAACAATATGGAGTTTCCTCAAAAAATTAAAAATGGAACTGCTATTTGACTCAGCGATCCCATTTCTTGCAATATATCCTAAGAAGCCTGAAACATCAATCAGGAAGAATATATGCATCCCTATGTTCATAGCAACACTATTTTTAATAGCTAATATCTGGAAACAGCCCAAGTGCCCATTAGTAGATGAGTGGATGAAAAAGTTGTGGTACACTTACACAATGGAATACTATGCAGCTGTAAGAAAGAGAGATCTGTTACCCTTTGAGACAATATGAAGGGATGTGGAGAGTATTATGCTAAACAAAATAAGCCAGTCGGAGAAAAGTATTACAAGATCTTACTTGTTTGTGGAACATAATGAACAATATAAGCTGTCAACCAAAAGAGATCCGGAATCATGGATGTAGGGAACACACTGACAAACCTCATAGGGAAGGGGGTTAGGAGGGTGGGAAGAGATAAACCAAAGAACTTTTATGCATATGTGCACAACCAATTGACAGGACATTAGGTTGGGGAAAGCAGGAGGAGCATGGGAGCGGGGAGGAGGGGATAAATGGGGGCAAAAAGGGGACATCTGTAATACTTTCAATATAGGAAAACATTTATGAAATTAAATAAAAAAAAAAAAGAGGATACACAAGAGAAGTGAGATATCTTACCTTTCAGAAATACATGTCTGATTGAAAGAGAGCATGACATTCAATCAGTATTTACCAGATAAATGGTGATGGAAGGAGAGTTGATTTGAGGTGGTGAACACATAATACAAAGTATAGATAAAGTGTTGTGGAATTGTGCACCTAAAACCTGCATAATTTTGTTAACCAGTGTCACCAAATAAATTCAATAAAAAGGGAAAAAAAACTAGTTATAAAGACACATTAACCTGACAGGTCTCAATCAATGCTATACTGGGAATTTGATAAGGCTTCTAATGAAACCAGTAGGAGAGGAGACAAAGACTTTTAGTATGGCTTTGGTCATTATTCTTCCAGTTAGGACCATCCCACTTTTAGTGTTGGAATGTGGATAAATGTAAACAAGACTATGAAGATCACTTTAAAAAAAATTTTTTTTATTGATTTCTAGAGAGAGAGAGGAAGGGGGAGAGAGAGAGAGATAGAAACATCGATGATTTGCCCCCTCCTATGTGCCCCCCCACCAGAAACTGGGCCCACAACCTGGGCATGTGCCCTGACTGGAAATTGAACCGGTGACCTCTTGGTGCATGGGTCCATGCTCGACCACTGAGCCACAACAGCCGGGCTGAAGATCACTTTTTGCAAAGCAATTCCGTAAGTCTTTTATTTTGTGGAAATAAGAAATATGTCTTACAAGACAATGAAAAACAACTGTCTTGCTGTTTCTCAATCGGCTATTATCTTGTTTGTAGATAAAAGTGCCAATTATTGCATCATATGCCAATTTAAAGGTAATTTTATCTCAAAGAACTTAAACATTGTTTTATTTCAAAAGACTTAAATTTGGAAAATTGTCAGATGTCTCAAAAGCTGAATCTTCCAAAGACGAAGACACTTGTGTCAAAACGTAAGTGAAGAATTTGAGTAAAATGGTTTCTGAAATGAGAAGAAGCATTTCTAAATTGACATATTTATAGTAATCTTTAAGAACATATATATATATATAAATGTTATTATTTTGTGCTCTATGGAAAATATGTGAATTTAACCTCTGAGGTAGAAAGTTATAAAGTAAAACACTTATTTTTTATTTATTTATTTTTAAACATGTTTTTATTAATTAGAGAGAGAGAAAAAAATGGAGGGGAGAGAACTAGAAATATCAATAAGATAGAAACATTGATTAGCTGCCTCCTCCACATCCCCTGTTGGGGATCGAGCTAGAAACCCAGGTTTGTGCCCTGACCAGGAATCAAACCAGGGACCTTTTGGTGCATGAGTCCATGCTCAACCACTGAGCCACACCAGCTGAGCAGAGAAGTACTTATTTTTTAGAGTGGGCTAAAAATTTCTGTTTTATTAATTTTAATAGAAATAGCTATTAAAAATTTTGAGAGGGAAGGTAGTTTCATAGAGCAAAATAAGAAGAAAATGTTTTCACCGAAACAGGAAAACATTTATAAATAGGTAAGTATATACTATTTCTCAGTCAAAATGAATAAAACTCATCTAGTTTAAAAATTGACCAGTTTATGCTATAAATTAATAAAACAATTATTTAAGTAACTTTTCTCTCAAGGAATTAACCAGATTTGAATTAGAGGTGCATTTGTGATGATAAAGGTAAAAAGTAGTTTCTCCAAGAATTAATAGGAACAAGTGACATAATCACTGGGGAGGGAAAGGACATCATTCCAAAGACAGGCTCAAGAAGAACTACTGGACATAAAGGTTTATGGCTGTAAAGGACAAGAGACACAGGAGGTATCCAAAGTCTTGAGCATAGAAAACTGGCAGAATAATGAACAGTTAAGATGAAGTCATAAGAAACCAGTCCTCTTAGATACCTCCACCACTGCTATCCACCACTTCTCACCAACCACCAAGTACTTTTGATCCTTTCATTTAAATATCCTCCTCAATGTCTTTACATTTAAAACATGCTTTTCTTTTCCATTTCCATGGTCACTGCCCTAGCTTAGCTTCACTTATTTCAATAACCTCTTTTCTAGTTTTCCTGACTCTAAACTTATACTCCACACACCAACTCTCTCCAGCACAACTGTTATCCCAACTTAAGGAAACTTAATCAACACAAAGATCTTGCTACTCCCTTGCTGAAAATTCTTGTTTATTCTAATTTTGGTCACATAAAATGTGAAGTATTTTTCCATACATGTAAGGACCTTCATATTTTAAACCTTATTTATGAACTGCCCAGTCTCATCTTCTACAATTGCCTTTCTGGTGTATTATGCTGCAGAAATACAGAACATCTTTTGTTTCCCCAGACACATGTTATACCCTCATTTAATTATATCTTTATACTTGCTATTCCCACTGCTTAGAAATCTTCCCGTAGCTTTTCTGTCTTGGAGACTTTCCGTCATCCATCGAATGATCTGTACTATATAAAGTCCCCCTCTGATTTCACCAAATGGACCTAGGCAAACCTTTACTGTTTTCCCTTCTGCTTTGTGCATGCAACAAACAAACATATACCAAATATGCTGCCATAATGGAAGTAACCATTAATGTGTCAATTGTTTTTTACAACACTCAAGAGGAGCCATTAAACACAAGTATATCCCACATTATTAGTCCAGGGCCTAATATAGTCAATAAACGTTTGTCAAATGAAATGTTTGACTTTAGCATCATGAATCTAGTGGAATAACTGAGACTAACAGGCTGTTAAAGATAGGAGATGGGCACTTGGGGAAGAGGAGAGTACTAGTGTTACACTGTATTATCAACTCTAAAAATGTAAATTTTTTGAAAGGTTATGGTTGACAAAACTGAAAAGTAAATGCCACTGTACTGTTTGAATTTTCTCCCTTGGGAAAGTGCCATCAGGATGTGCCACTGTAACTGCAGAGGCAGCAGAAGTAGCATTTTGCTGACATCACAGACACGCTTTAGCTCGAGGAGGAAACAGTGTGTCATAGACAGTCCTATAGGACAGCAAGATCTATATCACAATCAATCCAAATTTACTTCCAGAAATCAGTTGTCTTATTTCTTTAAAAACAATTTTCACAGATGATTGTTAATGGACTGCATTATAGGTAGAATGAGTCACTTATTCAATATAAGAACTTGGATCTACCAAATACCAAAAGCCACCTGCTAGCAAGATAGTTCCTGGAAAGAAAAACAGAACAGCAACTCTTTTTATCCACCTTCTGTACCACCAGAAATCTCCATTTTACTAGTTCACTCTGGAAGTGTTTAGGCCAATTATATTAGAATTTTAAAAGCTTTTCAGAGAACATATGATTTTTATAATGAACACAGTCATTATTTAATTTATTTTCAAGAGAAATCTTTGCCCTGGCTAGGCAGCTCAGCTGGTTGGAGCATCTTCCCATGCACAGAAGAGTCATGGGTTTGGTTCCCAGTCAGGGCACATACCCAGGTTGCAGGTTTGATCCACGGTCTTGGGGCCCATACGGAAGATGGGAGGCAACCGATAGATGTCTTTCTCTCTCTCTCCATCTCCTTTCCTGTATCTAACATCAATTTTAAAAAAAGAAATCTTCAATGTCTGAAAAACTTAAATTAAAACTCATAATTAAAATTACTTTAAAATAATTCATATACAGTAACAATGTCCAAAATGTTCAGGAGGAAAGAAAATGCATAATGAAAAAAAAAGTGCCCATTTTGTTCTAGGAAGCAACAAAAAGTTATTTAAGAAATTTCTTAATGGCAAAAAATCCCTTTTCTTCCCAATATCAAAGTAAACATTAAAATATTTGAAACTATAGAATATAGAAATAGGTAACTTAAACTTTGTAAATGAAAGTGCCAAAGTTCAAAAGATAATGTCAGGTAGAAGGTTAATTAGAACTTTTTAAAAAGTTCAAGAGATATATTTTCTTTTTCTCCAGAAGTAAAAGCATGTAATATCTTCTAATAATTAAAATAATCAAAAGGAAATTGAAAAATACTAAGGCTTATGATTTAAGCTTAGGTTAAAAAGTTCCTCGTGATGTTTAAAAACTTTCAATTATTTTAAAAAAGGAAATACTAAACTTTCTAGAAAGGGAAAAATTATATTTGAACAGTCCTTGCTTTTGTAGATGACAAGCTAATCATGTTAATACCCCTCATTTCTCCCTGGAAAAGAAACAACTTAGCTGGGTTTTGAGCAGGAGCGGTGATATTCCTCCTGTTGTAGACGAGTCTCCTCATGGCATGACCCCTCATTTCTCTTTTAAGATAAGATGGCATTGGCATGATGCATATCAGTAAAATTATCACAGCTGCTAGATTTTTTTACATCCACATTGAACATGCTAGGGTTTTCACAATATCTGGAAATGGCCTAGGAGAAGACATCAAATAGAGCACGGTTATGTTAAAAATAAAAGAGTTCCAGCCTTAACACAGAGAGCATCACTGAGAAGCCCCTTCCCCACCTCTGTATATAGATGATAGTCATTGCCCCTTTGGAGAGCTGTGGGCTACACTGCTAGGTCCTTGGGATTCTACTTTATGCTAATTCACTAAGGTAACTCTTTTAGGGACTATAATTGGATTGCCAGAGCAAAGGAGAACTTAGAATTTTTTGAAGTTTAGGTTTTCTCAATGGTGTCAAAGGCGTGACAGGCTACTAACATCATCATCCTCTGTCGCCTGTGCCCTTGGTTCCTTAAATATAATAAACATACACTTAGGAAAAATCAGTGTTTACTCAGCTAATGAAATTCTATCCAATCTTTGTTAGTTATTATATATCCTAAGCAAATTTTAATGAGGCAGGCATGTGTTGCACTTTACTTAAAGAAAAGAACAGTCACCCAGGCTGGTTTGGCTCAGCAGTTAGAACGTTGACCCGCAGACCAGAGAGTCATGGGTTCGGTTCTTGCTAAGGGCAAGTACCTTGGTTGCAGTTTGTCTCTGGCCCCAGTTGGGGTCATGTGGGTGGCAACCAGTCAGTGTGTCTCTCTCACATCAATGTTTCTCTCTCTTTTCCTCCCTCTCTCCCTCCCAATCTGTCTGAAGATGAATGCAAAAATGTCCTCAGGTGAGGATAAAAAAAAAAGATAGGAAGAGTCTAATGATGGAAGCACCCACCATGATGTAGTATTTCACTTGCTCATTAATTAAGGTAGAAACACATCTTACTCTAAAGTACCATCACAGTACCACAGAAAGTGTCATTTTTAAAGTGTCCATTTTAATTGTGAATAACATTGTTGTATACTCACCAAAAGTCATAGCCATAAATATTACTTTGTTCCATGTACTTAACATTTTCATTAAAAACCCATGTACTTTCTATACTGAGTATGTGAAACATATACAATATAAGTATATGTCTCTCAGCTTAGACTTCTTGAACAAACTCATGGGACTGAACTGTGATATACAGAAAAGATATGAATTTGCAAACTGAGATAAGAGTGGTAAGTAAATTGTTTGCAGATAAGATTAGTAATACAATTGTAAGAAACTATTCATATATGGTTTAGAAAAAAGAACAGAATTTAAAGAAAACCAGTCAAAGATTAAATTTGAATTAAAATATTTTGAATCATGATCACAACATGTGGGGTTCTTCTATAAATCATAAAAGATACCAGAAATATGATGTGAGAGTTAATAAGCCTTCTTCAATATGTTTAAGAGAGCTTTTCATTTCCTAATCACTACATAACATGACTGAGCCACGGATGTGGTTTCAGTGTCTGGCAGAAAAGCCCACTTTGTGATCCCACAGCCTCACCTCCAGCTTCTGGGCTCTTTCTCTTCGAAGAGGAGCAAGTACAACAGGCAGTCCGTGGTAACTTGCTAAGGACCGAAGGTCAAAATAGTATTTGGCATAGACACTGGTAGAGACACAAAGATTAAACTGCAGTAGATAGATATACTGCCTTTCCAACTCATTCCTGGGGAAGAGGGAAAAGAGAAAACCAGCACAGGACAATGTCAGTCAACTTGGCAATCTTCACATTATCATTCTCAGCTCCTAGGATGGCTCTAAGTTTTGTTTAAACAAATAAAGGCTACCCAGCTGTACTAAAACTCTAATGTTCAAATAAGCAAACAGGGCACAGCTAATGTGGTCCTTTCTGCATCCCAGCCTTTGCGTTGGGGGCCACGGGGAGGAGGTCATGTCTTCTGTGCACTCCTGCTGCTGACTGGGGCTCATTCGTCAGAGTCCCACCGGTGCAGCTGCAGAGTCATGCTCCCCGCTCACCCACAAGGCCCCACTGCAAGGCTCAGATGAAAGGAGTGATGTGCTGCTTCTCAGCTCTGAAGAACCCGCAGACATTTTCACCATAACAGGAAAAGGCTTATTCAAGTAGAGATGTGCCAACAAAAGGAGTGGGCACATCACCACGGCAACAAGTGGATCCACTGAGAGCCACCACTGTTATCTCAGGGGGAAAACTCCTGAAGTAACAAGGATTCATTTCTAATAAATAAATAAAAACACCACAATTGATGGGAAAGGGAACCCCTTCCCCTCCTCCTCCCCCAGGTCATGGGACTAACGTCAAAGAGCACAGCGCACGATTCTGTTCACCTCAATCTTACTGGGGTGAGAAACTGTCACCATGACAGAGCTGGATGCACGTTCAAACTGTGCGAGGCACAAAGGTTACAGATCCCTGTCTCGGTGGACTAAACCACTTTACGGTGTGACCTCTGACAGAGCACTGGACAACCTCAGACAGTACTCTCCCCGCTGGGACTGCAGCCCTGCGACTCTCTGCACCCCTTGGCAGAACAGAAGGGAACATTTCACAAGGGGTGAGTTCAATAAAGTGGGAGAGGAAATTGGGGAGCAGTCCTTTGCTACGTGACCATACTGCTCTCACTCGCCAAATTCTTAAAGAAATATAAAATGAGAGTAAATTGTACTACTTCCAGTCATCCCTTGATAGAGGTAATTAATAAAATACAAAATGCCTCAAACACATGAGAGAGGCTTATTTTCCAGCATATTTGTTTTCCCAGTTTTAAAGCTTTAATGTTTCATCCATTGGACAGGTCAACCACAGCTTGCTGGTCTCCTTTATGGAAAGCAGTCAGAATATGAGCAGAGATGGGGTTTTCTCACTTGTTAAACTTTAAACCAAACTGAACCTACTTCCAAAATTAATTTCCTGTTCCTATGGCCATAAGTCTATAGAAATGTAAATCAGACAATAATTTTTTTAAATGATTTCATGTATTTGTTTAACATATTGTGGTTTTTAGCAGTGCGATACACCATCCTGTCATCTGATTATTTAAAATTTAATTTAACTTTTTCCATCACCATTTATCTCCCCTATGACCTCTTCCACCTTTACACTCCCAACCCCTCAATCACCGCACTGTTGTCCTTGTCTGTGAGTTCTCCCTTTCTTTCATTTTTGTTCAAACAACCCCCACAACCCCACCCCACCCCCACCAGAGCTGTCTGCCTGCTCTCTGTCTATGAGTCTCTCTATTTTGTTTGGTCGTTCAGTTTGTTCATTCAGTTCTACACATGAGTGCAATCATATGGCACTTGTTTTTCTCTGACTGGCTTATCTCAGTTAGCATAATGATTGCCAGGATTTGGAAGCAGCCCGAGGCCCATTACTGGATGAGTGGATAAAAATGCTGTGGTATATTTACACAATGGAAAACTACTCTTCTGTAAAAAGGAAGAAAATTTTACCCTTTGTGACAGCATGGATGGACCTGGAGAACAGATGGTATTTTCATAATCAGCTAATCAGGACTCGATTCATAACAGGAATAAATGCACCTTACTGTGTCTTTTATATTTTCTTCACTAATACATATTAATTGTGAAGAAATATAGTACCTTCACAGGATGAACATGTCTATTAGAGAGGATTAATCATGGAAGAAAAGCATTATGCCTATAGATTGAGCATCATTTAGTGGTTTTCTTTTTTCTTTTAGATTTTCAATGTCTAGATGTCTGAATGGCATACCACTTACAGGAACAGCAAATTTTCTGAATAGTACCTGCTCAGTTTAACTTATTCTTTAGAAGGAAAATAATATTCCAAAAGGACACACAGATATTGGAAAGTTTTAAGAAAAAGATGATGGACAACAATTTTTCAATTGAGACTCAAAAGGAGACCATTACAAATAGTCAACTGTGGGGGGATGGTACAACTGTATACTACACACTGTGACAATGATGCCTTCCAGTTTTCACAGAGCATAAACAAAAGCAGCTATTATAAACATAGGTCCTTGTATTTTTCTGTTCATACACAAAAAGCATTCTGTACTGTCTGGAGCTAGACACGGCCACCATTTCCCCTGCAGCTCACATCTATGGACATGCACACATCTCCCTGCATGTTCTCTGGTGTTACTGCTAGAACCAGAGCCCCAGCCAGCTGAGTTGCTGGTTTGGAGAAAATGTCAGCTGCCATCAGGGCAGGGCTGGTGCTCATGAGGACACATGATCCTTCTTTCAAGGGACCAGTTTGAAGATTGATGACAGTGGTGTCAAAGTCACTTCAGCTTCTGCAACTTTCAGAAGTACTTCCATTTGTTTCAAGTGTATAGTTTGCTGTCACATCGTCTGCTCAGATGGCTACCAGAAGATTATCACAACTGCTCAGTTTACATCATTATCTAAGTGGGCACTTTTACCAAAAGCCACTTAGACACCTGCTGATAATCCCTGGTCCCTTCCCTTAGTCACAAGTATCCTCATTTCAGTTGCAAATACGCATTTTGGTGATTCTGAAAGAGTCTTATCTAGAGGGATAAGCAAAAGTAACATAAACAAACTCTGGCTACTTCCTGCCATAACCTCAATTATCCCATGAGGTCCAACACACTAATCAAGAGGTGTTCTCTCACATTTTCTTTCTTTTTTTCTTTATCCTCACCCAAGGATATTTTTCCATTTATCTTCAGATAGAGTGGGAGGGAGGGAGAGAGAAACATCGATTGTCACCTCCTGTAGGACCCTGACCAGGGCCAGGGACTAACTGTAACTAAAGTACATGCCCTTGATCAGAATCAAACCCGTAACTCCTTGGTCCACAGGCCGACTCTCTAACTGGTGAGCCAAACTGGCCAGGGCTCACATTTTCTTAGATGCCATCTCAAAGGCATTTAAAAAATTTTTTCATTAAATTCATTGGGGTGACACTGGTTAATAAAATTAGATAGGTTTCAAGCGTACAGCTCATTGGTACATCATCTGTATGATGCATTGCGTATATACCACCCAGAGTTAAATCTTTTTTTTCATCACAATATATTTGACCCCTTTACACAAAGACATTTTCACAGTCAAATAGGCACTTTGAGAGTATGCTGGAAATTCCTTTGGGGCTCATTCTGCTAACCACCCTCAGCACCTTTACAGCAGTTAATGGGGTCTGATTAAAAGTCCTCGTTAAGTTGGGTACTGCACTCCCATGTTTGCGTGCCAGCTACAAGGAGCACCCTCACAGCAACCTGTGCCCTCCACAAAGCACTGCTGTGGATGCTGAGTGCCTCTGACAATTCTCAAATGGGATGGGCACTGGGAGATGCCTAGTGGTGCTTCTCCAATTGCCTGAGAGGTAGGAGCTTTCTAAACCATCAGACCTATTATTAAACATGTGCAGTGCTCTTTAAAAAGCAGGACAAACCACAGCAATCTAAAACCTGTATATGTGGTTAATTTCCCACCATTTCTTTAACAACGGAAGTTTAAATAAAAAGGAAAAAAAACAGTAAAAGCAAATATACAACGAGTAAGTCAGGTTTAATCTATAATCCCCTCAATAGTCTAGAGGCAGTAAGATCATTCCAGTGGCCAAAAATTTATTTCAAAGGTCAGATGTATGCCCCTTAATAATGGAATGGAGACAACAGAAAAACCTTGGGTGGGATCCAAAATGACAGAGTAGGTAAAAGTTACTCGCACTCCTTCCAGCACCAAACTGGAATTACAACTAAAATATAGAAGCATCAACCTGAATAACCAACTGAAGACGATGAATCAAGTCTTATAACCAAGGATTTATGAAGAAGCTAAAATGAGACTGGCAGGCCCTGGCCGGTTTGGCTCAGCCGTTAGAGCGTCGGCCTGCGGTCCCGAGAGACCCGGGTTCGGTTCCCGCTAAGGGCATGTACCTTGGTTGCAGTTTGTCCCCGGCCCTGGTCGGTCATGCGGGTGGCAGCCACTCGATGTGTCCCTTTCACATTGATGTTTCTCTCTCTCTCTCTTCCTCTCTTTCCCTCCAACTCTACCTGAACAATAAATGTCCTCGGGTGAGGATAAAAAAAAAAAAAAAAAATGAGACTGGCAGGAAGGGTGGAGATTTGAAAAGGGATTGCCCTGGCACCCATGTGTCATGCCAAGAATCCAGAGGGATATCTCAGCTACAAAGATCCCCTCTTAAAAGTGAGGGGTCTCAGCCCCATGCCTCGCTCCCCAGCCCAGAGCACCAGAGCCAGGAAGATGAGTCCACATAACATCTGGCTTTGAAATAAGCAGAAATCTGTCTTCCAGGGAGAGACGGGTATCTGCTAGAAACCCAGGTGCCTTCTTAAAGAGCCGGCACACAAAATCTTGTTAATGGCTACTTACCCTAAGCTCAAAGAAAAGGAGGGTAGCTTGGAGCAGACCAGTGAAAAGAAACTGGGTTTTTGTGGCTCTGGGGAGAGATCTAAAAGGATAGATGTCATAATCTCTGTGCTGAGTACCTCTCCCACACTGCCCATAGACACCATCTTTGTTGGTTGAGCACCCTTGTCCTATGACATCACCTGGAGGGAATGCACAAGCCCCACCCTCCCAACTCCCTGTCATCCCACCCTGCAGTGCTCAGACCCTGTGGCAAATTCAGCTACCTGGGTCTAGGGGTTAGAAGTCTGGGAAGATTCTGGGTGTGCCAGAGACTGACTTGTGTGGCTCTGGGGC